AACTAACTAACTGTACTTCCACCGGCGGACATTTCTCTTTCAACTCTGAAATTTCTAAAAAAAAATACCCAATTACTCAATTAGGATGATTGTAATTACACAGAGATCGACAGTTTTCTCTTCTTCGATGATTCCGGCCGTGATTTATGGATTTTTTTGTTGTTTTACAATTTCACGAATGGATATCGCACGCACGATGATTACGCAAGAACTCCATTATCCTGTAGGAAACATTAGCGACGCATATCTTGCGTTTGGTTTCCGCTTTGTTCAAAGATTGATTGCGGCTTGATTTTCGAGAATTCTGGTTTTACAAGGAAAAGCACTAAGCTGTTTTTTAAATTAAACAATGCTTTAATGTCTGTTATTTATATACTGAAATGATTCAATAGTTTTAAGAAGTTCATTATTCCTATCAATGAAAAACCATGGATTATAAATGGTTGATCATTTAATTTAATGAAAATATAATAAACACTTCATTCATTAGTAGTAGTAGTAATAAGTCCAATTAAGATTAGTAAATAAATGAATTCACATCAATTATAATTCACTTATAATTAGTTTTCTAATGCTTGTGAAATTAATAGAAGTAACAGAATTTTATTATTTTGGATCTTGCTAAATTTATCTTATTTTTGGCTCTATACACACTAAAGACACAAATAGAACATACGTTTTAAACTGAAAAGGATTTTCAAATGTCTTAAGTTAAAATACTTCTTAATTTTCTCTTCTACTCTTTTAGTATAGAACAAATTATTGATAGAAGTATTTGTTTTCATCATAGGGTTTCCTATGACATTTTTACAGAAACTATGATTTTCATAAAATCTATTATTTTATCTATTCTATAAGGAAAGAACAAATTATTAATAGAAATATTTGCTACTTCCTAAGTGACCCACTATGTTCTATCAACTGAAAATCATAAAAACTTAATTTTTACGGTTTTCGTGAACATTTTCTATATAAATCATAGAAATTATAAAATAGGAAGTGAAACTTAATCATTGAATTAATTTACAATAAACAAGGTATGATGTATAAACAAGGTATATACTGTTATACAACAATATAGAACACATATTACAAATCTCAAAAAAAACCTGAACAACTTGTGTAATTTCCTTATATTCATGTTCTTGTTACCAGCAAAATACTTTTTAATATATTTTTCTTTTAACAAAATCCACACTTATCGAAATCGCATTTTGTTAATAAATTTAGCACTATGATATCATAGTGCGATTTCGATAAGTGTGGATTAATTATAAAAAATGAACACGAAATGCATAAATAATCGTGTTTTTATCCTATACATAAGTCTCTTTTTGTGCAAATAGTCCAATGTCGAAACAAACCGGACTATGCGAAATATTGTTGTTCTACTCTTATTGACTCATATTGGATAATACTATGAATGTTTTATAAACTTTAGTGGTTAGTTTTAATAAACAATCAAATGAAAACTGTGATTTGTTGCTAAATGTCTTATAAATAAAAAGTTTTAAATAATTATTTGTCATCGTCTGATTTTGTTGGCTATAATCTTCAATTGTTTTTACCATTGCAATGACTAATATTCTACTGTTACGGTAACAAAACCATAAATTGTTACGAACAATAAACATTTTTATATTTTCCTGCATTTGTTCGCACATAAAAAAAATGTTGTTTACAAGTAATAAATATCACTACAAATTAGATATGTATATAAAGAAAAAATACCCGGATTAATTATTTTTCTATTCATTAAAATACTTTCCAAATGCGAATTGTCGTGTTTATAAACTTATATTTACAAGCCTAAATTAATTAAAACCGAATTAAGATATCGCATTTCTCATGCACAAATATGGCATTTCCTTGGAATATGTGGGACCTTAAGAGCAACAGCATGTTAAGAGAGTTAAACAAACAGATGTCAAGTGTACTGCGCATCAGCATTGTTTTGGTAGTCAAAGGATTCACTTTTGCAATTGGTTAAAAGTAGTCCCACTTTCACTATTCGTATACAAATATGAGTTTAAAAAAAATACATGTTATTCAATTTCCATCGCAATTAAAATCGTGCTTAAGCCGTTTAATTGGTGGTTAGAGTTAACGCATTCCTGCATCTTCGTTGATTCTTCTATTTAATAACATTTTTTTAATACTTCTGTGAGTCATAGCTAAATGAATGGGTCATGAGAAGAACGTCGCAAATGAACAGAAAAGATGGAGAATTACTATATAAAAAAAAGTAGTTGCATGATTCATTTATGAAGTGAGAGTGACCAAAAACATAAACTCGTTTTGAAGCAATAATAAACTTGATATTATCATCTGTTGGTTAATTTAACAGTCGGTTATTTAACAAGGATCTAAGTAATATTGAACTAGGTCATTCGATGCGATTATGCTATGTTCATATCATGTGTGGTTTATTTAGTTCAGTGTTTCCTTCAGGAATAAAAAAAAGTATACTTAAAAAGAAGCACACGATTGCTGAAAGGTAAATTGTTGACCTTAGAGTTAATTTGTAATTATACTTTTAGCTCCAGTAAGAAACTAACACTTCTTGGAACTACAATTAATACAAATAAGAAACTTAAACATTAATTAAATAGAATTAACACAATCTTGCTAAAAAATGGTAATATTCTTCTAATATTTTCTAGAATCGTTGTTTCTCAAATATGAGGAAATACGTGAATGGTAAATCGAAATGCCATCTTCGTTTTGGAACTGTCATCGGGTTGATTACGAAACCGAAACGATGAATTAATGTTTTATTCATGCCCCCAAAGCATTACAGTTTTCCTCCGCGCACGGCAATTTAAAATAATTCTTATACTAATTAGTATGCTGCACAGTGTAATAGATTTATCCTTATACCACACTTTTTCTTATATCTACATCAAAATTAAATGCAATTATGTAATTGCAGTTTACTCACATTCGTAATTATGATTAACGTTGTTATATAGTTACAGGTTTTTGATATTTTTATTTACTCATTACCAATGACGTTCGAAATTCTATTTGTTGTAATGCGGTGATTACAGTTTTAGATACATAGACACATGGACTGACCTTAGTCTAAAGCAGTGATTCCCAAAGTGGTCTATATCGACTCCCAGGGGTCTATGACAACCTGCAAGGGGTCTACGTCAGCGAAAAAAAATTTTGGGGGTCCATGAAATGAAAATGGGGTCCACAATAGTGGATCTCAACATACACTGATAGTACCTATTTACTTACATTATACTATCTTATAATATAAAGACATATACATTATTTATAAAAGTACCTATCAAGTAAAAAATATATATGTTTATAAAATTGTGTAAGTTGTAGGATGTAGGCATTGGATTTGTGATCGCAATACATTTTGAACTTGTAAAAACCTGCACATAATGATATACCAGTATCATCTTGTTACAAGCATACGCGCAGTCTCAGAGCAAAGATCTTAATAATTATAAAGATGTCCCAATATAAATAATAAATTTACAAAAATCAATATCAGGTAAGTAGAGGGTCTACCCAAAACCAAAAAACATGGAAAAGGGTTTACGACATAAAAAAGTTTGGGAACTTCTGGTCTAAAGTATGAAAAGTTAAAGTACCAAAATTATTTGTTTATTAAAAAATAGGCAAATGACAAAATTAATATAACTTTCAAATTATTTTATTAATAAGTAAATTAATTACTAATAAGTCAATGAATTTATTTACTTAAATTAATAAATGCGTTTAAAAAAGTTTTGTAATGGAAAATAAAAATAGTATTAAAGTTCAACACCAAGCAGTAAATCATGAGTGTCAATAATTTGGATCGCGTAATGATTTTTGGTCGATCGCCAATGTATTTTCAGACATTATTCATTGAAAGAATTATTTGGCCTGAATCTTGATAGATTTCACTGAAAAAAGTATATGTTGTTTACAGAATAGCTGAAAGTTCAGTTAATGTTATGAGGCTTAGACTTATGTTGATTTGAAACGGTAACTGTAGATTACTAAAAGCAAATAATGAAACATAATGTTTAAACATGTATAAAAATATACAGAAATTCAAGGTAATATGATATGATTCTAAGATACGAGATACAGGGTGCAGTGTTACTGACAACAATACAAGTCTTTATGACGAATTTAGACTAATATTGGTGAATCAACAGTTTAAAAAGCTTTGTTGATTGAAACCGTAGAACGCAGTTAATATTAAAGTGAATACTAGACATGAACATTTCTGTATATTTTTTTTTAATTTATTGAACACAAATGAATATGTATTTACGCATGTGCATGTTTTACGTTAATAACTAAAAGTATTGTTCTATGTAAATGAACCAAGGTTTTATTGTTAATGTTGTTGCTTTTTAATTATTGCTCGAAATACCAATTCCAGTTGGATTCCACTAAAACTCTATTTTTTTTGTCTCTTAATGATCAAGAGGCTTCGCCTTTGTTTAGCTCGGTTCCAGAATAGGTTTGACGTTTCCATCGGGGCATTTCCAACATGTGGACCACTTGATCGTGGGGGGAAGTGCCATGGTATTCGTATGTGCAAAATGCAATTTCACAAATAGCCTGTGCTGTTGCTGCTGCATTTGCTAGTTTTGCTGCCAAGGCCATTTTCGTCCGGTAAGCCAAAAATGGACCGTGTCCGCAATTATTCATGTGTCAAAACGAACGAAGTTTTTTTTTTCTAGTTAGTATTATTTGATTTACTTCTTTTGCACGATCGGCCGACGGATGGTCAGCAGGTCCCGTGCTAAAGGATTACGTCATGGGCACGCTGGGATTTTTCATACACATATTTTTTTTTTTTTGGGATAGTTTCATCCCGACCAAGTAGATTCAGAAAGTGTCCGCTTCTCTTTCTTTGTATGCTATAATACTTTCAAGATTAAAGGTGCGACGGAAGACACGCCCCGCGAGGAGCTTAAGGTTCTCTCTGGTTGTATACCTGACTGCGGTGGCGGCGGCTCTCTTTGGGGTTTACTCACCTTGATGATCAGCTCGATTTCCGGGACGTCTCCGCCGTTCGCGTGTCCGTTTTCCGCGATCTCTTCCGACATGGTGCCTCTTCCGCTACTTCCAGTTGCAATTTACGAAACGGTTTGCGGTTGCAGACTTGCAGCACTATTGTACAATACTAAACTAAACCCACCGTTGATCCCGCTCTCCAGTTGCAAACGGACTGGTTTTGATACAGGATTGTAGTCCCCACCGCCAATTCCGCTGTGGAAAAAAGAGTAATCGATAATTTTGTGGCAGGAATCTAGAAAGTAGTACTGCGACATCAACAAGCGCTGCCATCGCCCCAAGAATGATCCTCGTGGTACACCACCATAGGCAACACTCCATACGTATCCTATACAAATTATATGTTCTATATTTTAAATAGTAAATATTTTTGGAGACAGCTTTCAGATCTTCTAATGAAATTAAGAATTTCAAAAAGACGTATACATTCCAATAAGAAATTATAATCAAAATTCGGGATAACTAAGTTAAAAGTAGGATATATCAATCTCTGTAGTTTGTAGAATTTGATTTATTAATTAACATTGTAAATTTTAGTCATTAACCTTCTCCACCCATTGACAATATACTTTCCAAAACATGATGTCTACTAACACTCTGTATATTACTAAGATGTACACTGGATAATAAATGATCATTTTGGTAGCCTTCACTCAACAGGCGCAAAATGTATTCTGAAGATATTCCATACTTGTCGAAGAGTAAATCGTAGTCATAATCATACTCTTCTTCCACCGAAGAGGCTATACTCATTCTAAACTCTTCCTCCGATGAATAAGGATAATTGTCCATCGGATAATGCATGTTGTCTTTGATAAACCAATAGTCTCCGCGCTTGTAGTTCTTCTCCAGCAATTCCGAAGGAATAGCCCGCGCATCTAGGATATCCACTACCTGGTTATTCTCACGATTTTCTATGTAATCGTCAATAGCCTTCATCGCCTTATCGGATACCGAACTGTCGAAACTAAATTCGCCGGAATTCACGATTTTAATAACATCTTTGTTAGGATGCTCGTAATAAGTTTTGCACTTTTCTATTTTTTCCAAAATGTTGTTTCCTTGAATCATCTGTCTGTAAAATTTGAAGAAATTGTTACAATATACTAAATATAAAGAACTTTTAGATGTTTACCCAAAAGCAACGTATCTACAGTTCATCCAATCCGTAGGACTTAGCGAAACAGAGAATTGAGTCATATTATCCTTATGTCTTCCATTGTTACACATTGATAAAACCCCGCGACGATTGTGTGGAATTTTGTAGTTCTCGCAGGAACGCCACTTGTGTTGCTTCAAATGGTTACCTCCAAATTGGATCCAACTTCCTTGCATTATCCTTAAACACGAAGTAGAATTATTTGAAATTATTAGAAAATTGTAGTAAACCTATGGATAGGTGCTCCAATATAACCCTGATGTCGACTTCGACATTTCTTCAAAAAGTTCTTACAGGTTTTTGGAACCAAATCTGTGTACAACTAAAAATACTAAGTATTTTAGATCTTGAAATCAACGAATTAAGTGATGTATTTATTTTACCATGAAGATAATATTTCCAATAACTTGGTGATTCATCGCGATTGTTAAGAAAACAAATTTCCTCTGAAATCATATTTAGAGTTCAGTTTAGAAACTAATGAATACGTTGGTGATGAAACCCCGATTTCCGTGTACTTCTTGAAGATATCCACAACAGCAGCACGTCCCAAACACTTGTAATTTCTTCTCAAATAGATATGCATGTCCTTCCTCAAATACTCCAACAGGTCTTCATCATCTCCGAGAAATGTACCGTTGAGGAATACGACGTGTTGTTTCTTCAGCGTCCAGAATCCGCCTCCGTATTTCCTCTTTGCATACACCAAATACTCTTCCCAGTCATAATCCAGCATGGGTCTAATTTGCGGTTCCTGATATTTGTCTGGAAACCTGTTGTGTAGTAGTTCTATGTACGTGAGGCATTTCTGAAACTCCTGCGTTCCTGCTATTCCGACCAAACCGAAACTTATTTGCTGATCTTCTTCATTTTCTGATTGCATAGACATCTTGCTGATTAATTTTACTGTTGCGAACAGAAATATTAACTATACCGACGCGACGAGAATTACATGAATACTTTGCTGATTTTTATGACAATTAAATGTCTGATTTATGACATTTAATATCTATCAAAATGTGAAATAAAGAAATACTTGAAAAATTGAAATATTTGTAAGACTTAAGAAATTACTTATGTAAAATTAAGTTATTAGGAATTGTAACGTCTATATACAGTAAGACCTCATTTAGTGGTCTTAAGATGCGTTTTAAGACAACAAGGTTAAATGAACATATAGTAAATAGGAAAATTTAGGCTTCGAGTAGACTGAATTATAACATTAAAAGTACTATAATTTCATTCGTACATTCATCTTAAAGCATACATTGATCGTTATCTAATGAATTTGCATCGTTTTACTACTAGATACAACATTAATTCCGTCGAGTAGTTTTAAAATATTGATAATTTGGTTAAAAATAACTGAAATCAGTATTTTGGTACCTGGATATAAATAATCAAATTAAATAAAATTGCATTAAATTATTTCAAGTGGATTTTTTAAATATACAATTTTTTTCCTATATTTAGGTCAATATTTAAGAACGATTTTTTTTGCAATTAAATTCAACTAATCTTACTATAAAAATGTTATCAGAATATGGCAAACATTTTATGATAAACTATTTTTAAAACCAGATAAAAATTATGTCAGTTGGAAATTTTACATGCATAATCTGATTTTGGCGTTAAATTTATAATAAATAGGTTAATGTAATCGAAAATTCAGCATTAATTTACAATGAATTATGTATTTAAATTATTAACATTATGCTCTATGTATTAAGAGCTTTGAACTGCTTTAACATGTTAATAATTTATTATACAATAATTTATTAACGTAGATCATTATTAAAAGAATCTAATATGAAATGTTAGTTTTTGAAGAGTTTTGTCTTAATTAGTGAATTCTTTACTTATTTTATAGAAAAAAAAAATTGGTACTTCTTGTACATGAATTAAATCATATGAAATTAGATCATGTAGTGTAAATATTTGATAAATTATATTTTTGTTGAAAGAACATAACATTAGTAATTTATATGTAATTTTTTATTGTTTTGCTTCAAAATTATTATTGTTAATTTACTTTCTGGTTATAATAGTACATATTGTGGACATTCTAAACGTATTTCAAATTGAAATTTTAATTCAGATCAGCACAGGCAACTCTATTTACACACGTGCACAGTTTAAGCGTTTATTTTAGTATTACAATTAGGCATGAAATTTTGATCTTTGATATTATTATTAACAATAGAATTCTAATATTTATTTGTTCTTTTTTAAGATACATAGTTTATATATTAGACTTTACAGGTAAATTTGTCTTTTTTGATTTTAGTTATCTTTTCATTATTTCGTGATACAAATATTTAAATTTTATGTATTCATGATAATAAATGCTGCATCCACACTATGCGTTATATAAAACAAAAATGTCAGATGTAGCAACTACTATGATGTACTTATGATATTATTAATATAAGATGTTGAGTGTAAATCAAATTGTAATCAAACAACTTTGTTAGAGTTAAAAATGTTAGTTGTTGTGTTATTAATCAGTGATTCTTAAAGTGTGGGTCGCAGAAAAATTGATTTTCTACGTTTTTCTATACATACCCAATCTTCGGGGGGTCCTTTAAATTTTTTAAGTGGTCGCGGACCAAAAAGTTTTCCCAAACTTCCCAAACACTGTTGTAGATCACAGAGATGATACTATTAATATAAATCTATGAATTAAGAATTGTAACTTTTTTTAATATATGTATTATGAAGGAAGATTGACAATATTTTATGAATAGAACTTTTTAATTACGTATTTTTATGATTACTCTTTTTTTATATAATTTAGGGAAGGATAGATATAAAAGTTAAATTTAAATTTAGTTGTTGTCATAGATTTTATTTGGGTGTGTACTGTGTAATAAAAGAAAATAATACCGATATTTTTTTGACTTTATTTCAATTTAAATTAATCTTTTAAAACATTGCATTTATGTATAAACTATTTACAATAGACTTATAGTATAGTATTTATAATATATATATATATTTCGATAATAATAGTAATTATTATAATATATATTTGTTTCCTACAGAATCACATAGATTTTGATATGCATTTAGTTAAATCAATTCGGTTGAATCGCAGTTGATGTCCGTTTTAGTATGGTCTCCAGACGTTGTTGGGATCCGTCACCGGGGTCCTTTCGATCTGCGGTTGCATGCTAGTGTCTGTTTGGGATAAAACGTCAGTGCACACCCGTATGGGGGCAAGGGATTCCGTATAGTTCTGATGCTCGTTCTTCTCCGGACTGCTGTGCACGTGCAGGTGTATTTGGTTTTGGTTGATGGTTGAGTATAGGTACGGCGTGTAAACCATGGTGGTAGGATTGGCAATCTGCTGCGGATTATTGTTCAGCGGATAGTAGTTGTAGTTGGAAGGGTAATTCGCCGATGGTGTCCAGTTGTTCGGACAGTAGGCGTTGGGATCGGTGTACCTGGGGCTCGTGCAGATGTTCATCTGGTCCAGCTCCGCTTTGGCGCTGTTGAAGCTCGTCGGAGGCGACGTCAGGCTGGTGTTGACGTACTCGTGCTGCGCTTCCGGCAGAACTGCAAAACCACAAATATTTACTCGATTTTTCGATCCGCCGACGCTCCAATAATTAAATCAAATCAAACTAATTAAATAATTGTGGTTTCATGCATATCGAAGCCGAATATTACATATTTATCAGTGTTTCAGTTTTTAATTAAAACAAAAACAGGACAAAATACAGTACCTGTGGGTAAAGAACTCAAGGCCTGGCTGTTGTCCTGATGATGATCATAGTAACCTGGTGGTTGAGGAGGACTGTATCCTGGATACGGCGTCGGATATTCAGGCCAAGAACTCGGACAATGGCCTACGCCACCGTTTAAGCTGGTCGGTACATCTGAAGAAAATAAACAAATAAAAAAAATGAATACATCGAGCGGAAGCTTAAATTGTACGTCAAGACGTGAAGAGGTTGAAGGAATCGAAGACAAAAAGTAATAATAAGGGAACAAAAAATAAATAAATAAAAAAAGACAACGATGGAGATACGTGGTGTAACGGAGGCAATAAAACAAGAAGCAGTAGTTGGAAATGGATTCAGTAGCCGATCCATTGAAATAACTCTGGCTTAGCACATTACAGGTAATTACGGGTCTACTTCTCTGGTGAGGCCTGAAATTCAATATCCTTCCACGAGGCATTGACATAATCAGAAGTAAATTGAAATAAAACCTGTTGCCGTTGGTTTGCGCGCTCGCCTTGCCTCCTGATCAAACACACATCGCAACTTCAACATCCAATACACGTCGTTCTTCTTGTATCGTCTTTTTTCGAACCCTTCGTGTCCCTTGCCTTCAAAATTGTTTGTTGTTGTTTCTGAGGCGGCAACGAAAGCGGCGGCGGGGGTCGCTTTAAAGACTTTGGCTTCAAGTTTAATTAAAGCCGCGTCAGAATTTAATAATAACACGGTGCGAAGGGTTGGCGAGTGCTAGCAGGATAATCCTAACTAATAAGGTGTCATTTACAGCTCTTGCAAAACTGCGGTCGACATCTTAACTTTAAACACACACACACATTCACATCGATCAACCTGGATATCATATGCATATTCTTTCTTCATCCCAACGACAGTTATTACACGTATTGTTGTACAAGCTAACCACAAAGTATACAATTCGGTATTCTAGAAAATACCTGGTCTAATTCATCAAGAAATGTATCAATGTATTGAAACATAATTATATTTTGTACATTACCTAGTCGTTATATGAAATAGCTAGGCATTTTATAAAATTCAATAAGAAATACAGTTAACCCTTTACTGTTTGACATTACTGGAACATTTATGTCACCATTTAAATTATAAAGAGATGTGAAATAGATCTAAATAATGTAATCTTTATATTGTATACAAAAAAGGTTTGTTTTGTAATTGGAAACACCAAGTGACTATAAACCTACATTCAACTAATACTTGTCACTTCTGTATAGATTATTTTTTTTTATATTGTAACGAAAAGAAAATTTGTGTAGTAGAATACTATGAAATAAGCTTATAAAATCCGTTTTTTGCAATCTAAATTACTGTAATTCACTTATAAATTGACTGAAATTACCAAAAGTACCACACATATTTTTGAATGAAAATATTGCTGAAATTTATTTTTTTATAGGAAACTTAATTTTAATGTGTTTTAAAAGAAAGCCAAAGAAAACAAAGGGTGGATACATAAGCAACATCTGATATTATTGAGGTATGGGAATTTTCCAATTTTTTTTTTTCACGCTTTCACGTTTTATTTAATTACTTCATAACCACAACCGTTAATTAAATCATCAAATATGCATATGATAGATAAAACTACAATATTTAAACTAAGTCTAATAGTTTTATATTTTTTATAAATTAAACTTGTTTTATATAGTATACAAAATTATGAACATTGATGCTAACAAAAACACCAGACTGTCTAGATTTTCGGTGCGACGTTTTATTTATTATTAGAAACGATAAATATTAATGATACACGTACATGCCAATGAAAACGTAGCGTAATATAATGAAATATCAACATGAAATGCTCGGACCTCATTTGTATGCATGCATATAGATGTTTAACTATTATATTAATATATGAATCATACGCGCGTTAAAGCGTACGGTTTGCATTCTGCATGCGACTTTCAGTTATTTGTCTTCGTAATTATTTTTTTACTTTTCGTGCACCGAACTATCGCCAAAAATATATATATATACGCGAGTTTGTTGAACCTCGCGAACGAAAAATTTGCATTGTTCCTTTATATTTTTCTTCTTAACGAAAATAAAAACACTTTCCATTTCGCATTCAACAATCTTGAAGCGTTGATGATTTACGTCAGTAAACATTTATAGACTCAAGTAAATATTATTTACGATCATATTATTTTCTTGTTTTTTAGTTAATTTTAATTATTACCTTTTTTTAACAATGCTTATAATTGATTGAATAACTTATATAAACGCATTGTCATAACTTGTTTTTACTTTGTAACCACATAATATTACATAAATAAATTTTATATAACAATTAATTAAATCCTTAGATTAAAATAATTTCTCTTTATTAAACGCAACTATTAAAGTTTATTTTTTTTGAGAAAATTTCTTAATCTTTTAAATTTTTCCATTGACATTGTCCAAATTATGTCAAAAAGCGCCATCTATTGACAATTATAAAAGTATATCAGTTATTTGACATAAATATTTCTTTCTTTGTCATTACCTTAATTAATTAATTAATAAATAAATAATAAAATTTTATAAACTCTAAATTTAATCAAATACCTAATTAAAGCAATTAAGTATTTCTAAATGATTTGGTTTGTTTGGATGAATTGTGTGTATTTAAAATATCATAAATGGTAAATAATCATGTGGGATATGAAATTTCAGTGAGTTGCTGAAATTACTTGTTGAAATGTGTTTGGAGCGGTGCATCAATTTTAGTTGGCAATTGGAGGTTGATTAACCTATTCAATTCAGCGGATATGAAATAATCATTTGGAAAATTACATTTCCAATTCGATCGATTATTCATTAATTGCAACATATAAACATGATTGTATATAAATTTATTACATTCTTCTTCTGTATATTATTTGAATCTGTATTTGTTAAAATATTTAACTTCCAATTGTCTATCGACCATTATATTCCATTTAGTAATTGAATATTGGTATTAAGATTATAAAATTGTCGGAATTATACTTTGTGATACTCGTTTAGCGTTTAGAAAACGTTTCTAAATAACAAACGCTAAACGAAACAGCGTTAAATGGTGTCAAAATAAACAGTAAATAGGACAATTTAGATCTTTACTCGAAGCTTAGTAGACCGCGTTATATCAAAACAGCGTTAATCGAGGAAACGCCAAATGAGGTTTTACTGTATAATGGTAAATGTTTAATTAGAAATGAACTTCCAATAAATATAAGTTATTATGTAAGTAATATATAAAGTCATTCCTTAATTATATTAAATATGCACATTACAGCCTAAATCTGCTTGAAACCGGACTAATTGAAGACTTTAAAACCATACAAAAATGAACAGGAAAAAAGATGAATTATGAAAAATAATTTTATTAATGATGAATAATTAATATATATATATTTTTTATTAAAATTATTGTAATATATATAGCGCAACAATGTAAATAATTATATGTGATGTTTGACCTTGAGTAGAAAGGTTTCACTTCGGGATTTCGAGCGAGAGGAGAAAAATAAAGTTGGGTCCGGAAATGCTTACTGCATCCCAATAATCTCTTGATGAGCCGCAGACAAAAAACACGAAATCTTATGTAATTATTTTGCACGAAATCAACCGTAATAATTTATATTATTAAATTATTCTAACAAAGAATTTACATCGTTTCTCTACCAAATATATCAAATTCAATTAAATACAATGTATTTAAACTATTGCTAATTTTTTACAATGTTCACTTTAAATCGTCATAGATTTTTTTTTCTATAGTTGAAAGTAGGACATTTTGATACTAATTGGATCATTAAATATCAATGACTAAACTGTTTGAATTATACTTAAATTGGTCGAATTATAAGTAATTAATATGTATTCGAATTGTCTAATGAGAATGAAGTTTAAATACATCAAATAATTACCTAATTTCATTAATATCTTTTTTATAATTAAATCTCATGTTATTTATCATTGAGTCAAAACAGACGAAAATTATCAAATTTCAATTTTTTCTTCAAAATGTTTGTTACTTAACTTTGTAAAATTTCTAAGAAAGGTTAACTTTTATCATTGATTCTAAAAATTTCTTTACTATTTTACTTTATATCATTATTTATTTATTTCTTATTAAAAAGATCAGTTTTGTTCTATTGATGTTAATTAAGTAAAGAATCTCAATTATTTGTATGTTTATTGAATTAATTAAGTAAATATTTTATTATACAAAATTAATATGAAAATAAACGAGTTTATTATTAATAATTTGAGTTTATAGAAGAAGTGAATATTAAATTGTCCGAGTCTAGTAAGTAATGAAGATTATAGTAATTTCAATAGTAGTAGGTAGTAGGCGTAGTAGAAAATCAAATTACATGCAGCCTGTATATATATAAATTTTTTGTGTGCGTGTCTTGTATGCTTTGCAGAGGCCGCAGTCGGCTACCGATGCATGGTGGTGTTATGCAGTTGCCGTTGGATGAAAACTGCTACAAGCAACTTCCGTTGTATGTAAGATGGCTAATAAAAATCATTAAGAGCAATAAACAATAAATGGTGCCGCAAAGAAAATTGCCCGGCCTGAACAAGAGGAGAGCCCGACGGTTCATTGGAAACCGATTTCGGGTTCACTTCCCATGCCTTATGGTGTCGTTGGCGAAGGAGAAGACCTTCGGAAGAATCCTGCCTCTGAAAGTCCGTGCGCTGTGCTGCTACCTCGTGATTATTTCAAAACAAAAAAAAATGAGAAAAAAAAGAAAGAAATGACGTTGCCGAGGAAACAAAAAACTAAATAAATAATAAAAGAATGTGGGACAACAACAACAGCAACAAAGACGAGAAGAAGGAAGACTGAGACGAAGAAGAAGAAAAGGTGTATATATATAATACGATCGAACTATTGCTTGTATTATGTTACGCTCCAACACTCTATATTTTAGTTCGTGTCAGGATTTTTACTCGGAGAACAAGAGCAATTCAAGACGCAATTCCTACACGACGCTGATTTCGCTTGGATATTAATTGGTAAACCACCCGGGTGTTCGGGAAGTCTACCTGTTTGTTGGGCTTCACATCGGCATCCGCCTTCACAATGATTGTCGCCATTCTTGATGTGGGAATAACGAGTCTCGAAAAAAAAAACACAACAACAG